ATTCTAATTTTATGACCAGCACCTGTAAATCCCTTGTCAACATTCAGCTGTTTATGATGCCATTTTCATTTTTTATTAGAGATGCACACCGATCCAGTTTGTATCGGTCCCAATATTTTAAGAAACCTAAATCAGGGCATCGATTTTTCATTTTGTTGCAGAAATTGCCTCAAGTATATGTAATAAGGAGCTCAAATTAGTTGTGTATATGTACCCAAATGTTTCTTCTTTTTTGGCATGTTGGCTAATTTACCTGCTCCTCTTTCTTCCCATCTTTTCTTTTTTAATATTTGGAGGGGCTGCTCCGCCCTTATATGCAAAGTATTATGCAAAGTACTACTTCACTTTATGGGGTTAAAGAAAACCAACACATTCTGCTTTGGCCTTGGAGGCATCCATTTAGGAAACCACCCATGTTTAGACTGCACATACAATGCAAGGTACTGTTTAAGAAAGTTTAGGTCATTCAGTTTTTTCTCCAACATGCTGCAGATCTTCTGTAAGCCTGTTGTGAAGAATGTTTTGGTGGGGATAGCAGCATCACAGTCTGTGCCTTAAAAATTCTAAACAGGTGTTAAGGAAGGCTGGCTTTGTTTTCTGGACTGGGCTGGAACCTTTGGAGCTGACTGTGAAAAGAACAATGCACAATAAAATAAATAATATAATGGACAACCCTGAGCATTTTCTTCACAAAATTGTAATTGGACGTCTTTGGTCAGTGGCTTCTTCATTCTTGCTGTAATGGAGACCGCTAAAGGAGATCCCTTCCATATCCATCACAATGATTCTTTAAGGAAACTTGGGTCATTTGAATTGCAAAATTTAATTTCTCTTTGGGGAAATATTTTTCATATGAACTGAATCTGGAGCAGCTGATAAGGTGCTTAACTGTTCTCCTATAAAGAGATAATTTACTCTCAGATTGGAATTTTTACCAAAACTATTACAGCATCTGAAGGACATGTATGGACATGCTTTCAATCAGTTGAAGAAGAAAATATATTTTCTGCAATATATTTTGTTGAAGTGAAAAAAGTTAAATCAGTCTGCTTTATATATATTAATGCTAGAATTTTATTTTTTGCAACCATCCTTGGGAAACTTAAACAGAAAAATAGCTCAGAAAAATAATTTGAGAATAGGACTTTTTTTTTTTTTCTTTTGTATTTTTATGTTTTTGATTTTGTTTACCAGCACTGATATGAACAGTTGTAATCTTGTCAAAATGGAACAGCAAAAAACAAACAAACAAAAAAAACATTAAATGTTAGACTTGGTTAGCCCATGTCTAACTTTTTAATTACCTTTACTTTTTAAACTGACATCATTAAAGATTTTTTGTAATATCAGCTTTTTACCTTTTATTTTGTTTTTAGATTAAATAAAACTTCCTCCTCCTCCCTGTTTTTGGAGTTAATTTGTTTTAAAAGCTTTTTTCCCCATCTCACACCTCTTGGTTCAAACTCAATGACGTCCTTGTTGATCTTGAACTTGAGGTCACTAATTATTTTCAGGATGGTTTGTCAGTGGTAAGGAACAAAACATAATGGAAAACCCCCAAAAATGTCATGCATTTACCAGTCCATTCATGGCTCCTTAAAAACATAAATGGATTAAACACAAAATCTTGTAGTGTGATTGTGTTTTTTGAGAAGTTAAATTAATCTTAGGCTGAAGTGATTTTTTTTTTTTACATCACACTGTGAGACTAAGGATATGTTTTAATTGCACTAATTGATTCTCATCTATATTGATTATCAAAATCTGATTTTGACACTGCATGCCAATTTTCACTTAAAATGATCACGGATGCAATCTGAGGTGCTGCATTTTTTCATAAGTATACATAACCATGGTTATACATTGCATATTTTTTGAATAGTACGGTGACATTTAGATGTCCTTACATTCTGACTGTAACACAAACATGTCTGTTGTAGCCGGGCTAATAAGATGGGATATTTCACATCACACTGTTCATCTGAGCAGACAACTTTATGCTATAAAGAAATGTCATGGGTGTTGAGCGCACTTGACAGTAACACATCAAGAACACTTGAAAGCAGAGTGTCCAGACACTTTGACCCCCAATGTTCTGGGGGAGGCAGAACTGAGTGTGGCTATGTTCATCTTTATTATTTATTGTCTTCCCACTATGTGAGGCAGCTAATTAAAAGCCAGCTCGCTCCAAAGAAGCCACAAGTTGTGTTACAAGATGACAATAAATGTTTATGGATAGCCCATTGTCTGATGACCTTCTTGGGTGTGAAACGTCAATAAAACGTAATAATACTTATATATTTAGTTGTGTGCAGTGCAAAAGCCTCACAAGCTTAATATGCCTGAACGCCAGAGACAGTAAGCCGTAGGAACTAGCTGACCGCATAAAGTCCATAATAAAAACTAGTCTACAGTTTCTTATTTGGAAGGACAAAATCGTTTTGTTTACCTTGGCGATGACCAATCTTAGACTGTCGTACCGCGACGTGCTGTGCTGAGGTATCTCCTGTTAGAGACCGAGCAGAATTTGACAGTCTGTCCGGGTTGCACCATTCCCATACTTCTGCCTCCAGCAGCTCAATGAACACACCGTCAATTCGGCATAATCCTCGGCAAACGAGTTGATCTGACTGCAGTTCTCACTACTTGCTGATAAAAGAGGAATCTCTCTTCCAGAAATTATAATCGATTAAATTAGCAGCCGGTCACTTGAGAAAGCTTGGGTGTCCCTCTCCGATCTAAACTGACTGATAGCTTGTGGAATCCATCTAAATCAATTGCGAAACATAAAGCCCAGGCTAAAGTCATTCCAACTGTTGCCCGTATTCCAATACATCCTCATCAGTGAGAGTGAAGGAGGACAAAGCACCGTGTCTGCCAACTCGTTGTGCCCCACAGAGAGCTGCCCCTCCCGCTCTACTGAGTGCCTGCGGCCGTTGCCTGCATGATCCAGCAGTCAACTGAATAACATTCCTGATTCTGTGCACAACATTTTCGAAATAAGGTTTGCGGCATAATGATTCTTCGAAATGCAGAAAGCGTTCTTAAAGCAGAACTGCTCTGGATTGTCTTCCAAAATGATTGAAAAAGACAAAATGTGTTGAGAATTATAAGAAACAAACTAGAAAATTCCGCAGAAATTTTAAGGGGC